GACCAAAAACAAAATATTTAGCAAGAAAGGGAATTTGCCAAACATGGATCAGCTACTGATTTTGACACAAATTTTAAATCAACATTTTTGTTATTCAACAATTATATCATATAACTTATCATTTTAAACCACATGGCATACCTGCATGACAAGGAATGTGACATTGATGGTGTCCACAAGACAACAATTTGCTACATGGTTTACCACAAGACCATTCCTTTGAGCCACATCGCCTGGTGYTGGGGCTACTTTTTCCACAGTGACATTTACTCTTCACAGTTTTTGGACATGGTGGGCAAGGACCTTACCATCAAATCAAATAAACATTTTTAATGTTTTAAAAATATTTTGGTCAAATATCATAGGTAGCACCATAGGCCGCCCAACTATTGCATTCGAGACAGAAAAGAACGAATACGCACGCTTTTATCATGTATATGTATCGGCCCGTGCTGTTGGAGAAATGCGGATTACCTGTGGTGTTACGTCACGATCTCGCGCCTCGCGGGACTACATTGATTAGTATGTACTCGCGAGGCGCGGGATCGTGACGTAGCACCACAGGTAATCCGCATTTTTGCTAAGAGTGCGCGCCGATACATATAGAATAATAAAAGCCTACGCATTCGTTCTTTTTCTGTCTCTAATACAATAGTTGGGCGGCCTATGGTAGCACGTGGTACAATCACCTTGCACACACTCCAGAATACTCCTTGATCCATATGTCAAAACTCAGGCATTTTTATTACTATGAATATCCATGCTGGTAGAAATTACCAGTAAACTTAAATTTTTATAAAACATCATCAGTTGGATTCATGAAATATGTCAGTTATTTTTTATCATAATATAGAAAGTTTTGTGTTTTCTGCACTGTATCCAGCATGGGCGAGAACGGTCTGTCGTTCATGGTTGTCCATGTACGGCGCTGATGTGCACATAGAATGCGCTGATGTGCACATCAAAGCCTCTGATGTCCCAATTATGTGGAGAAGAACTTAGAAAATTTTCAAAGACTTAAACTTAAACTGAAAAKAAATTTTTGAAGGACGCGTACTAAGATTCAAACCAGCGCAAACCAACCCAATATTTTCCCTAAAACTAACCATTGGCCATGTGACCAATTCGCTTGAGTGAACCTGAATTGTTGTGATATTTAYGCAACAAAATGCATGAATAACCATGTATATTACTGTTTACATAAGATTGAAATATGTAATTAATGAGCCTTCTTTAGGAACACGAGAACGATGCATATCGACATCCATCCTATAACAACCTCTACTCGCATGGGTACCTACTTTTGGCACTTTTACTCTACATTTCCAAATGCTTACAATTTGGGTTATTTACTCATGAATAAGCCACACCCTGAGTTTGCGAGTTTACATGATAAATATATAATATGTTACTTCATATTATAATACAAACTCTAGGTTTTTCTCTACTATACTTCGGAAAGAAAACTCACCTGGATGACAAAGTAACAAGCATTCATGACCACATGAAGGTTTTAGTTCTCTACCACAGGTTTGACCGCATGAGTGGGGTACAATCCAGGGATCAAACTTGGGATCTTGCTAATAATATATTAAAAAAAAGATTTATTTCAATATTCACAAATGTAACATTCAATAAAGCAGTTTTTGACAATGCAACATATTATTTCACTTTACAAACAGACTTGCTACAGTGCAGGAAACCTAGTAACAAGGACTTCTGTTTGCATGACATACCTCTTTTCCACAGTAACAGTAGTATTTGGTAGGACATTCAGATTGCTTAAACTCATGTCTGCACTTTGGACTACAAATAATGAAATTTGTATAAGTTATTTTGTTTCTGATTATTATTATATCATGATATAATAATAATCAGAAACAACCCAGTTGGTGCCTATGACATTCTGTGTCATTATAGTTCACCACAAGTTTCAGTTATTGTCCTACAAAGCATATACTGTTAGTATTTACTCATGTATAAGMCGCTCTCATAGATAAGCCGCACCCTGAGTTTTGGGAATGTTTTTGAGGGTGAGAAAAACGTCGTCAACTGTCTGTAGTAAGTAGCAAAGTGAATGCTGAATCATCCCTGATTTTGGAACGATTTTTTGGGGAAAAAAGTACAGATTATACATGAGTACAATACAGTACTCAAAACCTTACCAAAACCACCTTGCTTCTAAAGCTGGGAAGTTTTCTTGAGATAAAGGAGAAGTGTGCACAGCTCCATCGATTGCCCATTTTTGTATACAGCTGATATGAAATATACTGAAACACTGACCACAATGCCAGATCTGAAATAAAATAGCATGTCATACCTTTAATGCCTACTATATTAAGATGTTCTCTAAAAGAATGCTATTTAACAATTAGACCTCGAGGTCGAGTGGACTACGAGCTAATAGCCCATGAGGCCGAGTCCGTGAGGCCGAATGGGATATTAGCTCGTAGTCCATGAGGCCGAGAGGTCTAATTGTTTTAGTATAAACATACTAATCAGTCAAATAATGAAAAAAAAATTGAAATATCCTTAAAATGATTTATAATTTATTTATTTTGATTTTCCCGCGAGTGGTCTATCACAAATTAGACCATTAATAGAGTAGCCAATCACAGCGCAGTATGAGTGATAGACCATTAGTATGTTTATACTAATGAATGTTAATTATTTATTATTTATAGTTCAAATTAAATATTTAACTTTTGAATTTTTAAAAAATTCATAACCAAAATGTAAATTTGATGCAAAAGCTACTAGTACATAATTTACTTTTCAAAAACGGCTGAAGTCAGCTTTTTACACTTCTTGCATTTACTTTACTTTGAAAGAAACCAGTCCTGTACTCCTTATTATAGTTAGTATATTTAGTTAGTTTAAAACATAGCAGACATCATTTCAGGTAGTGGAGACTATTGAGCAGTTTTTGCGTATCACAATAGCATCACAATAAATTTTCAAACTATTGCAAGAGTATTGCGATAGGAGACTATTGTAATGCTATTGCTATAGTATTGTATGAGCACACAATCAATACCTGAGCAATTTCAATAATATAAAGAAATTCATTCTTGAACTTAAACAGGAACAAATACATAGATTGCTCCCACATATASCAATACTACATATACTAGTAATAGCAATACTACATTTCAGTTAACATGCAGACACGTCGCATTTGAATGGTTACTATAATGTTTACATTTTCTAATGTGCACTTTTTTACAAATTACAAGCTAATCTTTTAAGAAAGAAACTAAGAGAAACTATCAATAGTTAAAGTTTAGTACCACAATAGTTATCAGGGCTTGAAATAACGTCCAGACATGCAGGACAATATGTCCTTCCAAATTCATTTTTGGAAGGTCATGTCAAGTTTTGAAAGGACAAAAACTTTATTATGTTATTATTTTCTTTTAATTCATAGGTTTTGTGTTCAGAAAGATCAGCAAGCATTTTAATGGCTTGAAAAAGATTTATTTAGCAAATTGAAAATTGATTTGTCTAAAAAAAGGGGCAGGTCAATTTGTCCTTTCAAAACCCAGTTGGGAAGGACATTGTCCTTTGACCGGCCGTTATTTCGAGTCCTGGTTATTAATAGCGTAATTTTGAAATTGATGCATTGCTATCACAGCTTTGACATCGCAATTATCCAATACATCAATTCATTGTTAAGCCACTAATTTCAAGAGTTAAGCATAATTTGTTACAGTTTYTTTACTTGAAGAAATGTGAATTCACTTTAATACTTACAGCATCAAGACGTTTAATGGTAGCAATGCATATCAAGCAGACRTTTGCACCAGGACGGCATGAATCTACTAAATACTGGGTTGTCCTATCCAAAGAATTATCTTTAATGCTCTCTTTTGATACAGAAAAAAATTAAAATCAATTACAGAATTAATAACTATAATAAAATGTATCCTGTTAAGCTATATTTGAGTTTGCCTAGCTGCATTCCCACATGGTCCTTTAATTCTTTTCTGCCTTTAAAACACAACTAGCCATTATATAAGTCCATGGTAAAATGGATATCTCTGGCCTTTTAAAGCAAGTAGGAATACTAATCTCTTAATCTGACCTCTGACAAAAATGATCATCATCAGCTTTAATGCAGTGTCACAAATATCACATAAGGCTCTTAGTATGAAGATAAACCCAAATGAAAAAAACAGTGCTACAAATACAGGTACCAGAATGCTTCAAAACCCTCAGCTAGTAAGAAGGAAGACTGACAAACAAAGAGGCTGCCAAGGAGACTAGGGTGAACCCATTCTCGTACCAGACCCTACTCTATAGCAGCACATTGTAACTCTGGGACATCCTATAAACCAAATACAAGAAATCTTGCTTTGGGTTTATGCTCCAAGCTCTCTCCCCAGACTCTCTTAAATGGTTTTCTATGTAATGGCTAGTTTACACATGATTTTAAACAGTATATTTTCTATACACTAAAATAGCCATTTTTGACCATCAAACATTTAGCATGATTGCCAGGTTGCCTGTTACTTTGTTATTTGAATGGTTGGAAAGTAAAAGGGAGAATGGTGTGGAGCCAAATGTCATATATGCCATCCTCAAAAGTCAAATTTAGATACACCCCCCTCACTCCTCCCTACCCTGTTACTTAATAAAACTATCTATGCCCATCTCCCTCAGAAGTTGACAATGAAATACTGATTCCAATCTATAAACAAATGAATGAAAGCAGCTAAAAACTTGCCTTGTGACGTGTCCGTATACGTCTTCAGAGTAGTACTAATAATATTGTCATCTTCTATTTCTTCATCCTCTGATGAGTCGTCCTCATATTTTTCATCAACGAACTTTTTGGCCGACTCTTTAATCATATGCACTTTGTTCAGTCTCTCCTGTGAAGGCTTTCCAATAATAGTCACTTCACACTTTTCGTCTTTCACATTTCTCCCAATTTGTTGCTTATGATGAGGAACCACGCGGCCTCTGCCGCGACCCTGGCCTAAATAAAGGCCTCTCTTAGACACGCTTGCCATTGCTAAAAAGTATTTGGTTTATAGGTGAAGTCCGTAAAACGTATAAACAGTTGAACAACCCAGAAAATTGAAAAAATCTCTTGCAACCCCATTCTACGGTATGTGCAGTCTAGGATAAAACGGGTTATGCGAGCCAGCGATGTATTTGGACAGCGACTTATTATTATTTTCGGCGCTGGCCTAGAAAACGAAGGCTCAGGGTACGAGATTGTGAAGATGGCTGCTTCTTCGGTGCGCATTTTTTTTATCAAAAGGAAGAAAAATCAGGAAATTTCACAAATTGAAGTTTTAATTCATGTATTATTGTTTTTTTTACATAGAGTGGCAGCGAGGAAGAAGCAGTTTTGAATGCCTGTCTGGAGGAATTAWTGAAGGAACACGATAAAGATACAGTTAAAATAGCCCTGGAAACATTACTAAAGATCACAAAGTAATAAATTTTGATAATAATTGTTATAACAGATGCATATGAAAACTATACTAAGGGGCGATCCATTCGAATTTTGAGGGTTTATTTGACCCTTTTATGCTTAACTTATTTGAGACGGACCTGGGTAAGACTCTAACGATTGGGGGGGAGGACGATAGGGGGGTTATCGTCAAAATTCTAAAAATAAGGCTGACGTGTGCATGCAGGGCTCTGCAGATTTTAAAAGGTGTCTATCTCCTCCAGAACGTCCATAACTGGAAAGCAATCCATAAACCGTGAATATTCATAACTAAGGGACTGTGCAATAATTACAAGGAAGGGKAGGGTAGGCGTAAAACCAGATTTCTTAAGCGGAAAATTAGTCAGAACCCSCCCTCCGGAGCTTAGCAAAATATCTCTAACCCCTCCTCTGCTATATTAGAAATAACGTCAAAAAAATTCATACCTTGGTCAATTTCAATCCCACATCAACGAGTCTTTGAATTTAGATTTYCAGGCACGCAGTRTGGACTTTTTATGCACATGTCAGAGACCGCGACACATATTTTGGATCTGGGAGTCTAAYGACCGCCAAAGGCGGGAGTATTAAGGGAGTCTGGACCTCAGGAAATTTTGAAATAAATAACTCTTKGAAATGCGATTTCCAGCATTTTGAGAGACATCGAAAATTATGAAAATTTTGAATGAAACTTAAGGCCAACCCTCTGTTTATTAGGTAATTTTACTTTGAACCCCCCTACCTTGCCATCAATTTTATGTTATCCCCCCTCTCTGGTTTTACGGCCCCCTCCTCCTGGTAATTATTGCACAGTCCCTAAAGCCATGTCTTGTTTTGATAGCAATGTTATCCAGTATCCAAAGGAGGAGAAATATCAAAAGATTAAGACTGAAAATAAGAACTTTAAAAGCAAGKTGTGGAGTGTACCCGAGGCRCAGCAATTTCTCATGGTTTGTGGATGGATAGAGGTATGTGAATGCAAAACAAAAATTATCTGAATATGATCAATGTTCATGTTAACTAAGTTGCTCTTTACTGATTGAACCAGTGTATAGTTTTGGCTTTCATTAACTTTGACATTATACTTGTATGGAAGTACAAGGAAAATATAGTGTTAATAATATTAAATTATATATTATTATAAATAATAAAATTTTGTCCCTGTTGTGCCTACAGACTGATGGTGCCATYGTTTTGCAAGGCGATATTGATATGATTCTTGTCAAACATGTGTTGCAAAATAAACTTAGGTATGTATTGTAAACTCTGTTAAAAAATTCACACATAATTAATGAGTTATTAGCCCAATAGAGTGAGCCTATTTGATCACATGCATGGACCTTTATATCTGATAAACCACTTCTTATTAGTATTCTTTATATAACAATTTTAATGGCTTTGAGTTTCAAATTAGTGCCCAAATGTTTTAAGCCCTTTTTAACACCCTTCGACTCTGGCACTCAAAACCGCCCTTAAGAAAYGTTACTCCTTAAAAAAAATTGTCTCTTTCTGAAGCGACTAAGCTTTGAAGCAACTTTGGTATCAACTTAAGCCCTAGGAATTGCTCTCTCTTTTCATGCTAAATAAATGTGRATTAGCTATCATTTGAGAACAAAATGATTGGTGATGTCAAAAAATAAAAAAAAAACGCTTTTTTGGTACTATTTTCCGACCATGAAAATTACACTTTTTCATTTCAATTTTTTCCCACAAAATCCTTGTTCCAAACAATTGAAACACTGCTTCTGATAAAGTTCAGTCCTAGTTCTGCCATCTAAGCCATTACATTTTCCATTTTTCCCGATGCAACTTCTGAGAGGACTWTCTCTTTGACCCCAATTTCAGAGCGAATTTTTATAAAGTGTAGAGACTTATGCCCAAATTTCGAGTTGATTGTGTTCCTCGATAGCCAAAGCTTCCAAAAACTGTGGCAGGTCCAAGAATTTGCCTTTAGACGGTCTTTTAAGTGAAACTCTTTAAGTGAAGGTCACCGAATAGCCTATTCTCAGCAAATTGAAAAGTGCTAGTAGTCACTCTAAATCGTGTTTTAAGCTATACTTAATGATATAACGTACTGTCAATTGTCAAAAAAATTGCCAAAATGAATGGACAATGGATGACATAAATATTATTACAAATAAGGTGACATTATTCTTCCAGTGAATCTCTAATAGAACGATATTTTGTATTTTTTGTGTAGTTATTATAAAACTTGCTCTCATCACATAAGTTGTCCTCATCATCCACCACGTTTATTTCAAACAATGGATTGCAAATTTCTAATTTGATATTGTCACACTTGCCTTTAATAGAAGTGGAGAAAGACACTACAAATGATATTAGAACATTTAGTTTTTGTTTTTATTAATCTTCCATATGTGATTCCATCACCATCTTTTAATCAATTTTCTCTATTTGCTGACCTTCACACTGCTTACTTGAAAAGTGAAGAGCCTGCCATGATTTTTTTTTTCAGATAAACATATAAGTTCATAAATAATCAATACGAGTTTAAGCTATTCCTTTTTCTCCTCCCTGAAGTTACAAAGTCTGTTTTTTTCTTTGTTTCTGGTTTTAAGGTCTGTGGAGCTGTGTAAAGAGGGTGGACATTCTGTAAGTATTACAAGTTCTTGTACATTACTCTGCAAATGTTAATACAGCTGGCTCAGAAATCAACCATTTCAAAAATATAATCTCCAATTATGATACTCAATCCAACTAGAATTCCACAATGTGCATTGTATATGAGGGCTTGCAAATTCTCTCCATTTGTATTTTTATGAGAAGCTCAATTTTTTTCTTTCAATATTCAGTGCTGATTTGGAGGCATTTTCTCTTGGTCATTTGATCCTTTTGTTATGTTTACTGTAGTGGTTATTTGGCCTAAAAATGAAATGTCTAAAATGTCTATGCTAATAAGTAAAAAATGTAAAACTGACATCAGCAAAGATTTGCCTGTAGTCAGGCTGAACGTGGTCATAACACAGAACACATGCTATCCTTCACTGTGGTGACAAAAGTTGGTTACACTTCGGTTACACTGACTAATATAATATGTTGTAGAACAATAGTAAATAATATGTTTGTTTGTCTTTAATATGTACACTTTTGCCTAAGTTAGCTACATCACTGGCCAGTCTACATTCTTCCAGGGCTTCATGCATGTCAGATGATGACAATAGATAATTAGAAATTAAAGTARCTAGCCCCTAACAACAACTACAACAAAAATTAGCAATATTTTGTAACACATGTGGGTATTTTGAATCAAGTACAAAAAGTATGCTGATTATTTTTGAAAGTTCTGGGCCATAGTAYATAGTACACATTTCAATCCCCTTATCAGTTGCTRTGGACGATTAACTGAAATAATCGTAATCATTTTAAGCTCTCAGAAAAGGAAAAGAACATACAAGAAGAAAGAAGAGTACTCAGAGAAAAGGCAAGGTTGGAAAAACAAGAGAAGGAGAGGATAAAAGCTCAAGTAAGTACAGATTTATTAATCTTGCATTAAAATGCCTTTACAATGTATATCCTCATTTTAATAGTTGGCAAGGTATTAGTCTTCCTAATGGATATCCCTTGATCAGGTGACTTTATGTGTGATGGGGCAAATTGATCATGCGCGAATCACTTTATACAAAGCACTCTTGTCATCCCACATTGAATACGCATAACGTAAAATAAAAGCACTGGTGGCTGTTTTACTGCAATCAGTTGGCATCCTGCATTGGTCAATGATCACTTATCAAACCTGAGACCTTTGCTACAATCATTGCCAAAATTGTTGGAAAATTTGGACATTTATTTGCATTTCACACTATGCAAGAATAAATGACTGACTTCTTAACCCCTTTGCCCCCTCTCAATGGTGCCTGTTCCTTGCGAGTCGTTGTGCATTTGAAAGCTACCTCATCATACATCATCAATGCAGCAACATTGATTTTAAGGGAGACCGGGGGATAATTGAAAAGATATAACAGGAGTGGGACATATATTTAAATCGTCTCGTATAGTCGTTCCAAGTAATTTTGGCAACGATTGTAGGGTCATGGACCTTTGTATCTGGCTGTCTCCCTTATTAGTATTCTTTAAATAAAGAATACCTAATAAGGAGTGTTTTGTCAGTATTTAAACTCATCACTAATGATGAGCTTGGCGTTGGGTGCGTGTACGGCGGGGGGTAGGGTCCGAGGCTCGATCAGCTGGTTACCATGGAAACCCAGTCACGTCCCCACCTTGCACCTGTCACACTGGTCGCGACCAACCAGTGGAATACTTACCTATACTTACCTTGTTACCAGGGTGTGGAGGGATGGGAATCGAGAATTTGCGATTGCGATAATGTATTTAGGTTGCAGGCAAGCTAGCAATGATGTTGTCAAATCTGTGGTCGAATAAAGGCAGGCAAACCACGTGACCTCAGTGCTCCTGATTGGCTGGCCGCGAAGGGTTGTCAAGCGTHGAGATCYTTCGTTAATTGCGCTATTAGTGGGTATAGTATCTTATAGCAAGCTGGCAACCTAACCCATTTCGTGTCAAGACAGCCAATAATGATCCCTGCTTATCAACACCGGTAGTGAATTTGGTGGTCGCCGGTTTAGAAGGCTATCATTAGCTCGTGTCTAACCTTGCTTAAATTACATTGAACCGCATAAAGGTCCATGCATGTGACCAAATAGGCTCATTCTATTGGCCTAATAACTCATTAATTATGTGTATGTTTTTGAAAAGTGCATTAGTCTAACATCTATTCCACAAGTTGATTTGAYTAGTGCAATGATAAAATTAGGATGATTTAGTGCTATTTTGTTGACATGTTGTTGTCTATGACATGAAAAAATGATCATTTATTATTTGTTAGCATTTACTGATTCTGATTGACTCTTCTTAGATACGGGCTGACAGAGAAAACATTAAATCTAGGGAACTCCATGATTCAGTAAGTAATTTTGGATTCTTGTAATGTAATCCACAATTCATTAGATCAGGTTATCTCACCAAAATTGCTTCATCAGTGAACTTCAATGACTCAAACAACCAATAATGGTGCTAGCAGTGAACAGAAAGCTGAATCTTTGATGTCTTAACCAGTAGACTGTCCCTCAGATAGTAAATTCTTGTTGTTGTTGTTTTTTATCTGTAGAAAGCAACCACAATGCATGGTGATGGTCACATGACAAAATTTAAAGACATTGGTGTTGACCTTGGAAAGGTATCAGCCATTCCTTTTTTGTAATAGATCTACACATTATTTCTTGTGTTTGTGCAGACCTACCAATATATAAAATGCCCCAGATATATGAACCAACACACTGTGAATATCACTGAGGACTCAAATCAATAAATGAGTCATTTGTATTATTTGTAGTAACCATGCTTTTATTGATGGTACTCTTTGTTTGACCTTTTTCCAGGGCGGTGGAGGATGAGGTTAGGATTTCTGGCATGCTCAACAAAAGGACATTTGTTCAGTAGTGTTGATACAGTTCTTTAGGACAATATATATATCAATATTTCTCTCCATAATTATAGTAACAATGATTTTTTTCATATTTTGAGGACTAGGAGTTGCAAGCATTCCTACATAATATCGTTTTTAAAACGAAAAGTTTTAATTTTTTTGTTTTTTTAATCATACTTTTTAATAATAAAGTTTCCTCTAAATAATGAAAAGAGGTTTTGTAACCGTCAGTCTATAATACTCCAGTTTCGAGTTCATAGCGAAAAACCGCTGCTTTATTTGACAACAGATTCTCTTGTGCAAAGACCTKACCAAACACAAAAGAGAGCACGAGAAAATGTCGTTATTACAATAGGCTTGAAAATTTGCATTTTCCCCAAGTTGAGACTAACCCTGTATTCCCATAAGACCTAAGGTACGAGCCTTCTGGGTTAGCCTCAACTCGGGGAAAATGTAAATTGTTAGCGCTATTGTACTAACAACATTTTCTCGTGCTTTCTTTTGTGTTTGGTAATTTCTTTGCGTAATTGAATCTGTTGTCAAATAAAACAGCGGTTATTCGCTTGGAATTCGAAAATGGAGTATTCGAAAAGTCTGCCATTTTTAAAAAAAAGTTTGCATGTATTTTTCCTAAAGAAATGTATTAGCATGTATTTGTCCTAAAGAACACAAAATTTCATGCCATCAAAGCACCTATTAGATATTTATCTGGATCAAGGGCCATGCTATGACGACAAGTCTTGAAATATCAAATGATAAGTGACTTGTCTGATGTTGGTTGGTCTGATAGCAATTCATTATGAATCTTATGATAKATAATTCACTTACAGCTATAGCAAAAGAAGGAAGGAAAGAACGAAGTCAGACTGGATAAATGAGAGAATGAATGAGAGATTGGAAAAAGCTAATGGAAAAAAATAGAAAAAGCTAAAATGAGATAGGTGTTATCTTTTAACTTTTCCAACTTTAATCCCTCGTTAAAATTAAAACTGGGGCATCTATTTTGCTGTGATTTAATTAGGAAATATTCCATTTTATTCAGATTGTAAGTTATAAAAATGTTAAAAAGAGACATTTATTGGATGTATTTAAATCTTCATATCCTTAAATTCGAAAAAAATCCGAATAGCAGTTTTCAAATGCTAAGAAATGTACATTTTATGTGCTCATCAGAGTAACAATAAAAATTTCCTTGATAATTTCTAAAGGAATGGTTTTGTCTGAGTTTAAAAAAAGTTAAATATTGACTGAAACGTTCTTTTATGTATGCGAACATTATTTCTGGTACAGTATGTAACTGAGTTATTTTTATGTGAATAAGTCAAGCCATGAACCACAATGCATGCCGGTTGCTGTCTAATCTTGAGCATTTTGGAAATCCTACAAATTTCGTCTAAAGTCATGCAACATACGAAATGGTGAATTGCGCTAGTTCATTATGACGTCACATCAAAACATTGTCTTAACGCTAAGACGCTCAAAACTATTGTTTTAACGCTAAGGATTATGGTCGCCAGAAGGCATTGAGAAGGGATCAGAGTGACTGCATTTCAAATAGAATGTACATGAACAATCATTTATACATGATATATATCAAAACACGATTCATTGAAGTTGTACTTTAGCGGACAAAATAAGCGGGTCCAGATTTCCACTGTTTTTGAGCATCGTTTTCCGATGTAAACATACTGTGACGTACTAATGAAATTTCTTCAACACAAAATCGGTAGAAGATTCCTTTCCAATTTTTTATCTATTCAATCATTGRTCTAAGGTCCAAAGAAAAATTTTGAAATTTTCAGGTTTTAAAAATTCACGAGTAAAATCGYTACTGTCTGAAAGATTTTGAGGAACTAGTTAACGCGATGAACATTAAGTCATTAACAAATTACGGGAAACTCTCTTTATAGTCTACCGAATAATGCTCGACCATGCTCGCGAGCTTTCCTGCTATCGAATATTTTTTCATTTGAGAAACTTCTGTATCCGCCCATGGATCACAATAAAGCCTTTTTTWAAAATATTATACAGATCCTATATTAGTGGATAATTTTACCGTATAGATCGTAGAAGAGTGCGGTCTGCCATTGTTTGTTCMAAAATGGATACTCGAAAAGAAATAAGGAGTAAGTGCACCGCAAGGCTGTCATCAGAAACCAGAAACTAACCTCAATTACCAAAGTTACCACTGAATTTAKAGGTTTCAAATTCAATCATATATTCCTATCCTTGAGCTTGGAGATCTACTAGAAGCAAAGTGGGAGACGAATTGGCGATGAAAACTGCTTGAGGACAGTCGGCGGCCTTTTTATTGACTCCCGCAGAAGGAAATGAAAAAAAATTAAACGTTGCAGCATTRTAACGTTATTCTAAATGTCACCGTGAATGCTATTGGCTATTCCAATCGATGATGAATCGTTATACATCTGTTTCAATTACTAATCAATCGTCATAGCGATTTTACTCTGGAACAGGGTATCGATTTCAAGGAATTTTTCCGGAATTATTGATGCTGGGTAAAAATTTACGAGGTAAAAATTCGGTCTACACGTAGCTAGTGCTAGATTTTACTCGACTGGAACAGGGTATCGTTTTCAGCGATTTTACTCTTGAACAGGGTATAGTTTTCAGCGATTTCACTCCTGGAACAGGGTCAGGGTTTTGAAGTCACAGCGGCAAACCTCCACCCAAGTTGGGAGGAGTACCCTCCCCCCCTACAGGAACTACCTTAAATCAATGAGCTATCAAAAAATGATGATCAGAAATGGAAAGAGCAGGTTTATGTTGGTAAAATGGCAAAATCTTCAAAAATGGCAGCAAATGTAAAATGTTGATTTTTCTAAAGAAACGTATAGGAAAATCAGAGTAACTAACTCTGGGAAAATAGAACTGGAGAGCTTCTTTAGAAAAACAATGATTTTATATTTGCTATCAATTTTGAAACATTTGTTTTGTTTTTGTTTTTGTTTGGGCCTATAGGCAAAATAGGGTGGTACTGAGAACTTTCCCCGTCCCTTCCCCTCTAAATTCTAATATTGCGTCCCCAACCGGTTTCAACATGATTTYTAAAGGATCTCACTTTCGCMTGAGCTTATCTATTTCTTAGACATGTAAGTACCACCATCTACAGCTGTCTAAAGAGGAACGTCGAGAATCGGTAAGTCGGAGCCATGAGAGTTGAAAACAAACTTTAAATGTACATTGAGGCTCATTTRATCAGCGAAAAATTAGTATCAGTTATTTTCATAAACACGTGAAACAACAACTTGATTAATACGTAATGAATAATGAGCTTTGATTCGATAGTCAGTTTGCTTTTGTATTTATATCACTAATAGATTGTAGAGAATAGTCCAAATTGGTTTAACGGGTTTTAAAACCACGGCATTGTTCTTTTAGTTAAACTGTGTCTATCCTACAAAAGTCACGCGATCACCAGGTATCCTCTCAGAGAGACCCTGAAACTCTGGTGAAGATGCTCGGGTTCGGTCTCGCTTGTTATATTCTTGTGAATGAAATGAAAACAGTCCACAGGGGAATGGTTTACTAGTAGTTTTGTATTAAAATATTAACTGCATGATAATGGCTGGGTAAAGCGTACCTTATCAACGGGGTAATCGCATGCCAATAATTGCAACTATATCATTAGCTTTCTGATAGCTGTCAGCACTTCTTTTTGTACGTAGGTAACTAAATAAGAATTGCTTAAAGATAGTTCGTGTAGGATCATTCCCCTATCAACCCCAATGACACAGTAATAACGTTAAAACCAAGCCGGACGAGGTCATTACCATCGCACATCGCAGCCGGAAATAAAAAATAAAGATTGAAAAAAAACACATCGTACTCATGGATTATGCAGTGGTGTGTTTACGGAAAACAGGTACTTATCAAAGTCTTTCAGTGACTTTTTACAAACTTCTGTCTGTCCATATTTTGAGGACATCCATTGATAAAGATATAATAGCAGCTTCAGATTTAAGGTTAATGGTATAAAATTAAATGATGTGTATAATTATAACTGTATGTCTTAATTGCTATGCGAACCCCATGATTCCACAGATTCGAGGTCGTTCAAGAACAATTCATGTCAAAATAATTAAAACAAAAACAAATCAAGTCATCGAAAACAAACGTTTGTGAAGTCAAGGGCGTTTCAAGGGTGTTTTGCGTTATCTGTGTTTTTTCCGATTACTGMTAAGTGCATACCGATAAATCCATCAGATAAAGTGCATAAAGGTCGCCCGTCTACCTGTAACAATAACCATCATACAGCTATGAACGTCAACAATCTTSAACAACTAGTCTCAGGTCATCTTTATAGACAYTAATACGAGAGAAACGATAGTAACRGATATATTGAAGAACATTACTTACATCGCTTACCATGTTGTACTTTTAAAATAGAAAACTATAGTATGGCGTGTATATGAGATACAACCATGCAACAATTTACAAAATACAATCCCATAAATACCAAGAAGAGCATTTTCTCTATTCTTTTATAATTCAAGTTTTGCAAAGTAGTAACTAATCATTKTTGATGGATGTTTTTATTATTATTCATCAATTATTATTATGATAATATGCATTTCTATTTTACAGATAAAATACCTTTTTATTTCTTTTCGACAATRTACTATTTCGATCCGTTTTGACGGAGAAATAAGTCCAATGAATAGAAAAAAGAAATATTTGATTAAAGTCGGCATAAATTGAACATCTGTCTCCGCCGACATTTATTCGCCGTTTGCTCCTTAATTAAGCTAAGAAAAGACGGCAACTGCATAATAAATATTTATCAGTACCAAGTTCAATTTATGCTGTACTATCCTCTCTCTGCATGTAAATTGTGAKTATTTTTCTTTCAGATCAATGTTCAGACAACTAAAAAGGACTATCATAAAAGACTGCCTGATTAGCTCGCGACTGGAATTGGCATATCAACTAAAAAAACATCAGGACAAAGAAAAAGGTAGCAGGTTTCTAAAAACCCGATATTCAATATTACTTTGAAGGAAAAAATGCAGCGAAGAAAAATTTAAAAAGCAATTTGTCAAATGTACTTAGCGATTTTTGTGTGCTGTGTTTTTCCCAGGGTGTTGTTGGACGTGGCTGGTTTCTTCAAACTGAAGTTTATCATGACTCATGCAAATTAGTATCGATATTCCATGAACTCAGCTGTTATTGAATTCATTTAAGGTATGCCAACACGTTTTTTTTTTCCTTCTTTGCTTCTGAATGATAAGTATGATCTCAGAATTACAGTTTTATTCAAAAAACATAGATCATATCTGGTATTTGTCAGAGKAGTGTCAATAGATAAAAATGATGTATTTGTAAATTTTCCACAGGTATTTTTCTTGGGAGTATTSTTTCTTTGTTGCCATAATTTTCTAAAATATTCGTATGAAAAGGAAAGACATCTTTCAAATGTATATATTGATATTTACCTTTGTTATAATGATAACACTGTAACATGATTGTAGAGACCTCACGATGCCATGGCGACAAACCCCTAGCGTCATTTATCATTTACTTATTATTTCATAAACGACATTTKGGTGAAACCTAGAAACCTTTCGTGACGGCTCAGATGTCCAAGGCTAAACAATTTTACAACACCCCGTGCCGTGAAAATCTACAAATAACTGGTATACAACTGTTTTCAAGAACGCTCTCGAAACAACTGTTCGTAACGATCACTAAATGATGCCCGTTTAGCTTTTAGTTTGTTTGTTTTTTTCCTTTGAATTAAGCTTATTTTTTTGTCGATCTCAATTTTAATGTTTCAAGAAAGGTTTACCCARAACATTTGCTCTTGATTACAATTAATCATCTAAAAATAAATAATTCGTCCAAAATGTGGAACACTATGAYATGGTAAACCTATATTGCACAAAGGTTTTCAAGACAGCTGTAAATGTGTGCAAGTATCTGAAAATGAATTTAAKGTTCCACTTTTAAACTTTCTTATCGTTTTCAGTCGTTTCATTACAGGTGTCTAAGGTTGTAAAAAATGAATGATGACTAATTCTATCTATTTAAAGAGTTATATCACCAACGGMCATAAGTCGTTTGATTTGTGTATGCTGCCATTAAAAATTCAAGCGGTTTGGATATTGTACGTCAAATATTTCTTAGTTAGACTCTGGTTAAGGCGTGCAGCTGAGCCATGTTTCAACCATCCAATGAATAAGTAATWATTATTTWAACGAAAACATCAAAATATTATTTGATTTGAGCCACCTATCAAAGTTGGTGCTTCGGCCAGTTTTACTTGTTAGTAACTATTGTGCCGTGTATACATCCAGAATACGCCTTTTCAATACGCAAATTACGTAGTTCGTGCCACAAGTGGGAGTGCAAGGGTTTGTTTGTTTACAAAAATCAACCTGTTATTACATACCAGAGCCGCATTTCTGCTACAGACGTGGTACTAAAAGGTTTATATATTTATACCAGAACCTGCATGAACATTAGTGGAATGAAAGCTACCGTAGATTTGAGCCCGTTATGTCAACAAGTCTTATGGTAAAACAACATATTTGTTAAAACAATTCAGTGTGTTTTTAATTACTTGGATGTATCCTTCAATTGACAATGACCTATTCAAATTAGAATTCACCTGTCTATGTAGGTGGATGCATATAAATGTATGCATGGTGATTAGTTGAAAATTAGCATTAATGTCTTCTTCTTTTTAGGATTACGCTGGTTCAAACGATTGTGCGGTAATAAGGCGGGAACCCTTTCAGTCCGGTCAAAGAAAATCATACAACGTACTACAGAATTGTTAATAATTTGATGTTCAGGAATAAAACAACGTTGAATCTTTCAACTACATGGATGGAAATACTAGTAATTTTTCCAAAGATGCAAGTCAACATTACCCTCTTTTCCCGGAGGTGCGGATAAGTTTAATTATTATACTAGGACTATTCGACATTATCAGTATTGTTGCAAACTCAATGGTAGTATTGGCGGTGTACGGAAATCGTCGTTTACGTTCAAATACTAATGTGTTCATCACCAATCTTTGTGTCGTGGACCTTGCATGTGGTCTGGTGTTGATGCCGTTGGTAATCCATTCTATAGCCTTACAAGAAGAAATTWCTGGTTTGATATGTGAMTTTTTAGGATTTCTTGGTGCTGCTTATTCAACTGCTTCTTCGTTGACAATCGCTTTGATTGCGCTAGACCGTTATCACTCTATAGTAAATTGTTTATACTAYGAGAACATTGTAACCCGTCGTCGAACTATTCTTGGTATAGTTTGTGTTTGGATACTAACATTGATTATTGCTACATGTCCCATTATTGGTTGGGGCCAGTATCAATACGATCGACCGCAGTTTAAATGCTCATTGCGTCATCCAGATCAACATGGATTCTTGTGGTTCTATATCTGTACATCAGTACTTTTTCCTTATACAATCATTGTTTTTTGTTACACTCAAATACATTTGGTTGCAAGAAGACACGCYAAAAATATGATAGCAATTCATATCCATGATACTGGCAAGCGCATTAAAGCGGTTTCTACTACCAAAACTAAACTTGTTTACTTAGTAGTTGGGCTATTCACAGTTTGTTGGATACCTATTCACACTATCAAACTTCTTGAAAACTTTTCTGTTACGATACCTGACGGCTTATTAACATTAGCAACTATGTTGTTACTTATGAATGGTTCATGCAACCCTTTTCTATATGCTTTAATAACCAGTCATTTCCGTGTGGGTTTGAGGAGGTTGTTCAAGCGATTAAGACGTAAGTTTGGTCAGCCTGTGGCATCACCATCAGGTGATCACTCCAAAAGTTCGTGGTCGGTGTCAAAACCCATATCAAATTTATATCGATACTTCCAAGAAAATGATGCGGGAAACATGTTGGCTTGTGTTGGWAAAACCACTTCAGAGGATTTTAGGATGGAGCGACAAGGCGAGTTGGGTCAAAAAATGTTAAATCAGCAGATGGATTCTTCTATAAGAAAGCCCCAAACGCTCCAAATACCACAAAAAGGAAAGAAGTTAAACAGYTATAAGGAGAAAAAGGACAAACTAGAACTCCCGTTTTTAAATGATACCGAGCAAAGAACTGTTTTGGTTTCTAAAAAATCAAGTCAATATTTAGATGTCTTAATATCTCCTCCTTCACCCACGTCGAATGGCCAGCTAAGTGTTTTMATCGAAGAAACGTCTGAGCAGTACACTAATAACGACGAAAGAAAAAAGCAGTCAACAACATTTCCATTCATCAACGTACCGGTACATTTAAATGGAAAAGCAACACCAAATAACAACAGTCTTCAAGTGCCCGTCGAAAAATAAAATGGTATAGCAGTAAGAAAAAACATTTTCGACTTTCAAAGTCTTTTCAGCTTTTCGCAGCTCGCAATCAGRGGGACTGTATTCTTTCTTGCATTCCTTTATTCATTGACCCTCAAACACTATCTGAATTAAATTTACAACTCGTGGTATTAAACTTTGATATACAGAATATGAATCGTGTTACACCCAGTCTGTTGTTTATAGATACTAACACAAAATTTCTTTGCGTACTTACTAAATGACAGTTTCTTGTTATCTAGGTTGATTACTAAAATACCTTAAACCCACACTTATGATTTAACAAAAATGTACCAAAAACACAAATTTCTCTCTCCGACGCATTCTAGTGTTCTAGGTATAATCGATTTTATTTGGCAACGATTTTGTAAGGCAACTTTTTTAACTATGGAAGCCAATGTGTGCGATCAATGATCGCCTAGTTCAAAGCTACAAGCATATCATTAGGGTAAGACAAATGTTTTTACTAATTTTTTTCTTTCAATATTTTCATATAGATATCGCTAAATCAGCTAGTTAAATGCTGAGCTTTGGTTGCCTGTGATGATACACGATTATTAAAGATCATTTACGATAGGTCTCGAAATGTTTACGAATAAAAACACGATAAAAAGAAAAGAAAAGACAGATTGTTCTGTGTGTTTTTCTTTCCGATCGAATTTTTTTCAATCCAAAATAAAACTCCATCTGTACTAAAACACTATATAACAATATTAAGATAGGTAAGATGTTTGTTATTAAAAAAAATTAAAATCACACACTTTGATTGTTAGATTGAAATGCCTTGCTTGGGTTGCCTATGATCTTGTTGAGATTTTTAGCCTGTAGGAAATATTATGATAATCTATGTTAATTCAGGCATTTCRCTTGTGACGTCATTAAGAAAATAAWTTACATGTGAGAAGATGGCAAGTAAGAATGCTCAACCAGATCCGATACACAAATATCCACTCCCCAGGGGTTTACTGTCCTGGYTAGGAAACCATCAAATGATTTTCAGCCTGGCTAGAGTTTATAACCATGGCCTTTTTACCTGGGTAACTAGACGCACAACTGCGCAAACTCGGGGTTCTTGTTGATAAAATAGTAGTGAATTTGGTAAGGCTCGTTTACACTTGCGTGTTTGCCATCATATATTTACTATATAATAAGATAGGTAGCTAGTTTGATAGACAATTCATGATATGCAGTAATATAAATATCACAATTCCGAAGTTGATATAGTTATGCAACTTAGAAGATCTGGGAATATTGTGACAGATTCGATGATAAACAACCCATCTTAGCTTTCTACTTTTTGTTATGTAAGCGTCTTAGAAATCGTTTTGGTATCCTACTGGGCTCACGGCTGCGACTACAACGTACATGTCGATAATTATAATAAACAAACCTTGAATAACGAGATCTTGTAGTACTTGTCTTGTAATGTTTATTGTAACTTCTGCATCAATCATTGTATACACCATAAACAGTCATACAAATAGTTTTATCTCACCAGAAGTACATAACCAGAAGTGTCCATCTCCTCAATAATATCCACACCATCAATTGTGGGGAAAAACGAAAAAATCAATAAAAGTAGGAAATCTTAATAAAATGAATTCAAACTCACACAATATGTTGTTCTTAATTTATTACACATCTATGCGAAGTTTCAGCTCTCTGCAGTCAAAAAACTGCTTTTTTCTCAATGTTGGTCCCCTAGATAATAAATACTGCTAGTTTTTTTCGTTTTTCCCCACAAAACCTTCAGAGAAAAGCCGACAAGTGCAGTGCTTGGGCTACCTGTCAGATTGGTAGCTTGTTTGATAGATGTTCACGATAAATTTCACGATAAGTTTCACGATAAATTTCACGATAAATTCGCGGTATCTCTCAAACTGCCCTTTCGAAAAACGCTCGACATCTTTTAGCGTGGCTATACCGCGAATGGTGTAGCCGCGAATGGTGTGTGGATTTGTAAGAGATTTTAGCGTGTTTGAAGTTGAATCCACAGAATCCATGTCTCGTACAAAGACGACACCTCGACGACACCACAGAACATGGAAGTTGTRAATGTCACGATTCGTACCCAGTGCATTCTACTTTGGCCGAGACAATTTGTGTACCAAATGCGACGACTACCATGACAAAGAAGGCCGAAACCTAAACTCGCGGTTCCTGTGGAACCCCGAGTAATTAGTTTTCACGTATAGCTTTCCTAGCTGTCAGTAATTTCCTGACGATAAATTGCTGGGAACCCTCCCCTCCCCTCCCTCGGCTCTTGCTCCTAGGATATAAATATAACTCTGGGTCAATAGGTATGGGCCCTATGGGCCGCCGTCACCAACAAAAAGGTTTCGATGTTCAATGGAATCCAGGGGGGTATACTCCCCTATATTCGCTATACGGGGACGTGCCGCAAACCAGGGTATCGTTTTCAGCGCCTTTACACTGGAACTGGGTATTGTTTTTAGCGATTTTACTCTGGAACAGGGTATCGATTTCAACGAATTTTCTCTGGAACAGGGTCAGGGTCGAATTTCGGAATCATTGATGCTGGATAAAAATTCAAGGGGTAAAAATTCGGTCTACACGCGCGCAAGCTAGTGCAGGATTTTACTCTGGAACAGAGTATCGTTTTCAGCGATTTTACTCTGGAGCAGGGTATAGTTTTCAGCTATTTCACTCTGGAACAGGATCAGGGTTTTGACGTCCCAGCGGCACACCCCCACCCAAGTTTTGGGGGAGTACCCCCCCTGCCGGGTTTCCTTATAGCTCCTGTTTTCATGCTCTTTTGAGTGCACATTGATATGGACACTTAATCTTGATTTCTGTGTAAAATTGAAACACCCTTTTTGAATGTCACATCTGGACAAATAGACCCACTCAAACTCATTGCATTTTAAAGTGTGTAATAGCATCGGCATTGGAAATATTCTCTATTTAATATTGTGCATCAATAGTTAAGTGCAAAATTGGAAGTAATTCTTTTGTCTTTTATTTTGATTTTCTGAATTTAGTGATAAAAAAATTGAGTATTGACCCAAAATTTCAATAATATTGATCAAACATCAAGAACAAACAAAGCAAATAGGAACTGCTAGGAGAATTCTAAATATTTCATTTGATGAAATAGTATATCCCAGTTGTCACTAACAATCAGGTAGGTTTAATTTTACAGTTGCAATTAAAGTTGTACTGATTTCTTAAAGCTTATATGATAATTTTTCATATAACTGTAACAAATCGCAGTTATGTCCTTTATTCTTCTATGTAACAGACTACAGATATGTCCTTTATACTTCTAAGTTCGGGAGGTTAGCTAACGTCTTTAGGCACACTTCTCAGAGACCGAATCTCGACGACTCTCTGACAGTACAAACCAGTCCCAAAATCACACTCTCTCAAGCACCACCATGCTTTTTATCCCGAAACTTAGCCTTTCCCACGGGACAATCACACACAAAAACATTCACGAGAATACAACACAATCACATATCAAATCGCCCAGTCTACATAACTATATAAGGACGTGTCTTTTTTCTGAAATGTGATGTGGATATTAAACCAGCTTAACAATGGATCTTTTTCAGTTTACTAGGTCTCCTTAACATCTTTTTTTTTCACGCGTCATCACCATAAATAAGACTACGTATTTTTTTTCTATAAAAGCTATAAAAGTTAAAATAAAGGAAGTGGTTTTTTTTTCTGAAATGCCAGTGGAATTGAACCACCGGTACAAGAAAACTTGTACTCTACAGAACGTTTCTTTTACACATCACTAGAATAGGTCTGTCGTAAAAACTTTTAAGATTTAGCTTCAGTTTGATGAAATGATGTCCTCCATGGATACACGATAAACTAAACGATTTCTTGAAGTGGGTTTCCTTTGTTAAGAGAAATTTCCCGCCAGTGACCAACGCGGCCGCGTCGACCGCATCGCGCGAAAGTTTCAAAAAAGCGGGAATTTTCAAATTTCCCGCCGTGGATATTTTGCAGTCTTGTTAATTAACAGTATGCTCATGACTATTGCTTATCTTAACAGTTCTGTACGAACAGGAATTACAGTGGTAATGTTTCGTAAACACCCGTACAGGATTCATTTTTGCATTCTTTGCTATCTTCAAAAATTGAAAAAGTCGCTCCATCGCTGTCAGCCATTTTTTTTTCGCCGCCATGATGACATGAGTTCCCCAGCCAATCACGTTCAATGATGTAAAAGCGCGCGATAGCCAATCAGAAGCGAGCACGAAAATCCTATGTACTAGACAAAAGTGGGTTTAAAAAAAATTCCCCTCCCTATACATGACAAGAGGCCGTTATGCATGAGCATGCGCGCAACCGCTDCGTYMTAAYKAYCDTKGGCTCTAGAATACGGGTAGAATAACATTGTAGTAGCTGCGGAAGCTTCGATTCTGAACATAATTGATGTTTTTACTTATCTTCCACATTTTTCCAAACAAAACCAAGTAGATATATTTACAATGCACACGAATATCTTTCAAACTTTATATAAATTATTGTGGGTCTCGGGCTAGATTTATAACACGAAGCCACTTTGTACCGTGAAAATGTAGTGARTTATTTGTGCACACCTTTAGCAATAATAAATTCCTAAGATGTGAATCGATTGCACTGCAATAGTTTATTTCATAACTTATAATGATACAGCTATAGAACTACACATAGATATTTATGATAACTTGATTCAAACAAGCTCAACTCTTCAGCCAAAAGAATGCTAAATCTGTCGTGAGTGCTCAACAGCACGTAAGAATTTGCAGAATTAACACCGTTCCACATTTTTCATACCCTGGGAACAAGAGGCTGGATTTACTCGTTCTTGTAGTTTATATACGGCGCGAAGCGCCGTCCTTGAGGCCGAAGGCCGAACCGTAAACCAGCCTCTGGCGGCATAGCCTGTGTACATCCGTTTCTCACCCCTCAAAAAATCGGGGAGAGAACGTCTGTGATTTGCCGTTACTAATCGTGTTCTGAGGTCCTCAAGATTTGGAGGACGAATTTCATTGGCCGTTGACTTATGAGACTTGTGATTGGCCAAAATCAATAGATGGCGTGTAAAGTTGGTCACACGAGTGAAATATAAGCCTTCATGGTAAACCACTGGAACATGTAGAATTCAAAAAAATAAAATTGAATATGTTATTTGCTCTCAAATTCTCTGTAAAAGTTTAGGCTTTAATCTTCGGTCAGGGTAAATTTAAAAYTGATGTGGAATTATAATGTCATTAGAATTCGCCGCCAATCTTCACGAACAAAACTTGCATTTGTCAGAAGTGCTAAAGAAGATAAGGGGGCTTAGTAGTTTGTGTTCTACATCTCATAATAGCCTGCGTTAATAGCCAGAGTTACAGATTCAAAACTGCCGAGGACAACGTAATCTTCACAAGAAGATATTAGTACGGTTGATGGAAGTCATTGTATGACGCAAATTACAGGAAAACCACATTCTGACGAGACACATGTCATACTACCGAAGATAGAGAGAGCACGGCATAGACCAATGGGCAGAGACAATAATTTAAACCACGGTCGAAGTTAGAATTGAATGGCTGAAACAAAAACAAAATCTCTAGGCATTATGTTCGAACTAGACCCTGACAGCAKGGTGTACTCGTGCCCTAAAGGTGTTGAAAAGTGCTCCGTACTTATTCAAAATGAGCTCATTTTTAAAAACTTTTCTTGTGTTTGACCAACAACCAGGGGCATGTAATATACTGTCTTCCTCAATTTTCAAAAATAGTTTGACCGAGTTGACGCTCTAACGCCGAGTTAGGATCTCGAGTTGGATTTCGAGTTGGATCTCGAGCTGGATTTCGAGTTGGATTTCGAGTTGGATCTCGAGTTGGATCTCGAGTTGGATTTTTAGCAGGATTCTGAGTTTTCTAGTATAAAACACGGTATTTCAAAAAAAATTAACTAAGACTAGTGATCAGCACTACGGAGACTAGTAATTACTAACATTTAAAACTTGCTTTAAATTAAACTTCCTTTTGGGACGTGAATAACAACGTCATGACTAAAGTTATTGTGATTTCGAAACAGTTTTGGGGGCCATGCATGCGATTAATTTGTAAAAACTTTTGAAAATGACTTAAGCTTGCTCAAACGTTAAACTTCAGCCATCTTATATGTGCTTTATCTATCAACAACTGATTTTTGAAGTTTGGCAGCATCAGTCCCAGTCTGTTTCACAAAGGTTTGTTTATATATTTATGATTATTATAATTTTGATACATTCAAAATCACTAAAGTTGTTACTGACTGATTGTTTGATTCTAAACGTCTCCATTTGGGAATGGCTGTAATAAACGGACAACTCTATTGTTTTCTGATATTTGATCAGTTTATAAGCGTACAGACCATAGCATAAAACACCTTCGATTAAGGGTCCTGACTACTTAGAGGACTGTTCGTATTACTGAGAAAGGAACGTTGACGTGCTGTGAACTTGTCGTAATATATATATTGAAYAACATTCGGAAAAGCTGCCGTGTTTTGATTGTCAAGCGAAAAACTCTCTATACTTTTCGTTKGTGCTGTGCCATGTTGTTTGCACACTCATGCTAACATGAATAGGAATTCAACTGGAATTAACATCGATTTCACACTGTATCGTTATTTTTACCACAAATAATGGTGTCAAAAACGTCACCTCAACTATTCTCAAATATCTCAGGACCACTAACAAAATGACAACCAAAATTGAGCGAAATCAAAT